CGCTCCGCCTGCACCATCCACGAAGATCCTCTTTTCAATCTTTGGAGTACTTGGTTTCCTATTTTCGGATGCAGAGGGTGACGTTCGTCTGCTGAAGCTATACCATGGAGTCTGTTGAATTTCGCTCAGTTGTCAAGTTTTTACACTTGCAAGGAAAATCCCCTAAAGACATTTTTCAAGACATAGTTCAAATTTATGGTGACAAATCTCCTCGTTATATTATATTGTATTGTGACATACTGGGAAAGACAATTTAAATCTGGATTCATGCTGGTGATGGATGAAGATCGTGAAGGGCGCTCATCCTTTGTGGTAACTGAAGAGAATGTATCCGTAGTGAAGGAACAGGTTCTACAAGACCAACGTATAACAGTTAAACAGCTCTCAAGTGAAATGAGAATAAGTAAAGGGTCAATTGAAATGATTCTCCACGATCATCGTAACATGAATACGGTGTGTGCGAGGTGGTTACCCCGCCTTTTGACATTTGAACAAAAGAAGCAGAGGGATTGAGACCAGCAAAAATCTCATTCGAATTGAGTCCAGTGACACAAATCTCTTTAAATACATGGTGACTATGGATAAAACATGACTTATCATTTTAATCCAGAATACAAAATGTCCTCCATGCTATGGAAAACCCCTTCTTCTTCCTCACCAAAGAAGGCAAAGGTAACACCATCAAGAGGAAGGGCCATGCTATCGTGTTTCTGGGATTGTGAAGGTATCATCATGACTGACTACCTGGAAAATGGAAAAACAGTCAGAGGAGACTACTACTCGAGTTTGCTGATAAAACTGCGATCTGAATTAGTGAGAAAAAGGCGTGGAAAACTCCGCAGTGGGGTCCTCCTACAGCACGACAACGCCCTTGCGCACAGGGCACAACAAGCAGTCCAGACAGCAGAACAACGCCGCTTTGAAATCCTGCCCCGCCCGGCTTATTTACCAGACCTACCTCTCTTCAGACTTTTTTCTGTTTCCTAATGTTTAAAAGTCACTCAAAGGACGTAATTTCCATGACAACGAGGACGCCATTGAAGCTGTTGAAGCCTGGTTAGGGGCCCATTCTGGATCATTTTTCTCTCAAGGCCATTTGAAGGTCAAAGAGAGGTGGCAGAATGGTGTTACTCTGCGTGGTGACTATAATATTAATAATATAGAGAAACAAAAGCATGTGTGCCAAGTTCCAAAGCTCTATCTTTTTCTTTCATGCTTAGATCAAAACTTCTTGAACCCCCTTAGTCCTTACTTACTTATTTACTTACTTATTTACTTACTTACTTACTTACTTACTTACTTACTTACTTACTTACTTACTTACTTAGAGCGATAACATAAAGAAAGCCGAAACTGAAGCGGCTGAAGATCGACTCGGACAGGCGCCAGTAGGTGTCTGCTTGACTCCACATAGAGGGCGCCTATTGCCGATCCCTTTAAGCTCGCGTTGCATTGATCTACTGTTGTCTAGTCTGCCTACATCTACCGTATCTAGAATCTAGTTCTAGGTCTTGAGTGATTACAAATTTACAAGAATGGACTCGTCATCCAAGAGGGGGAGGGGGAGAGGAGGAGAGGGGGGGGGGAGAGAGGGGGGAAGGGGAGAGAGGAAGAGAGGGAGGGGGAGAGGGAGGGAGGGAGGGAGAGGGTGAGAGGGAGGGAGAGGGAGGGAGAGAAAGGGAGGGAGAGAGAGAGGAGAGAGATTATCTTCCCGTGTCCGGTAGAATGTCATATAAAATTGCAATATTATGTCATAAATGTGTCAATGTGATGTTGTATCTCTTTTCATTTGTTTTTTTGTTTTGTTTTTGTAAATTGTTTTACGGCGCTCGCAACTGCATAGGTCATATGAGCGCGCGGGACACTCCTAATATTTTCAGTTGGTAGGAAATTTTGAATTTTGCCCAGGTGGGGGCCGAAGTCTACTCTTATCGATTTTAGACCACCAAGGGATCTTCAACGTGCACAACTTGCACACGGGACCTCCGAGATTTTTCGCCCTTGTCCGAGAAGGCTAGGTGTAGATCTTTCCTACCAGAAGATCAGGGGTGTGGCTGAAAGACAGCAGTAAGAAGAAGCCAATGAGTAGCAGTAGAAAGGCTGCAGAAAGAATCAGGAGCCCAGAGGAGGGGGCAAGGGAGGTGAAAGGGTGGGGGGCAGAAAGAGGAGACGGAAGCAGACGACAGAACATTGCTAGAGAGTAGGAAAGGGGGTGAAAGGAGACAAATTTAGAGAAAAAAAATATTTTTGATCGCTACCCGGATTCGAACCCGGGACCTTTGAATGAGAGGCGAACACCTTAACCTCTAGGCCACGAGAGCCCCCCGTGCGCGTGTGATAAGCACGTATGCGTGTGTGCGTGTGTGTGTGCGTGTGTGTGTGTGTGTGTGTGTGTGTGTGTGTGTGTGTGTGTGTGTGTGTGTGTGTGTGTGTGTGTGTGTGTGTGAGTGTGTGTGTGTGTGTGTGTGTGTGTGTTAGTTTGTGTTTGGAGTACATGTGTGTGCACATGTGTTCGTGAGTGTGTATGTGTGTGTGTTTGTGTGTGTGTATGTGTGTATGTGTGTGTGTGTGTTTGTGTGTGTGTTTGTGTGTGTGTATGAGTGTGTGTATTTTTGTGTTTGTGT